GAGTAGCAGTGTCATTTCTGGTTCACGTTATTTGGGGATATTATTCCTTTTGCCTTACTACTTTACCGTCTGTAGCTTAGAGGCATCCTGGAACTACCAGCAGCAAAGAAACTTTGATCCTTTCTGATCCTTTCATCCAGCAAAGGGTCACTGGGCGTCTACTAGGTGCCATCCACTCCCTAGAGCGTTGAGAATGTGCCACTGAGCGCCGTAGGGAAAGACCCTGTGTGTGGAGCTCACTCACTTCTGAACAGTGCTGGCATCAAGTGGGACACATGACAAGGAAGATGGTTCCAGAGCATGACAAGAGGCAAGAAAACAAGTGTGTACAACAGAAATTGACAGGTCTTCAGGTGGGCCGGGGCAGCCCTCGCTAATGAGGTCAATTTGACTAGTGATCCATATGGTGGAAAAGAGCCAGCCATGCAAGCATTCCTTAGAAGCAGCAAAAACTGCAAGTTCAAAGGCCCTGAGACAGAAGCATGTGTGATTTATTTAAGGGCCAGAAAGAAGCCAAAACACCTAAAAGTCAATTAAGGAGAGGTGGAGATGAAGCGCTAAAGTCAAAGAGATGCAAAGGCAGTATCAGTGACCTCTTTCAGCTCAGGAAGAAAGTGAAGCCCAGGGAGAGGAGGCAAGCGCCCCAAGTCAAACAGCTACTGATTGCTATAGCTGTTTGTACAGCTTAATTCTTCTGCCTCCAAGTCCAGAGATTCCACACTGTATGGATCTGCCTGCCTCTAGCCCTGGGGATACTGTTTACTAGTCTCACTGGTTTTTAAAAGCTCTTTGTATAGTAATATCAGACATGGTGGCTCACACCTGCAATTCCAGCACTTGGGAGGCTGAAGCAAGAGGACCATGAGTTCAAGGCCAGCCTGAGCTACATAGTGAGTTCAAGGCCAGCCTGTACTACGCAGCAAGACCCCATCTCAAAAATGATGATGATGGTGATAAAAATTCTTACACAAGCAGTAAGCAATCTCTTTTAAGCAGAACCTCATGACTCAGTGATCCTAGTGCCTGGAAATGCCCTGAAATTCTGCTCTGCACTCTAAGGTTTTGTGCCCACTCACCTTTGTGTAGGTCCCCTTGACGGCAGCTCTTTGTTGAGGTTCAGATCTGCCCCTAGGGGGAAGGCCATAGCTCACCAGAGACTCACTGCATTCTATGTAGGCCTGACATTTGCACCACCACCACCACAGTCACCCCTTCAGAGTGCTTTGCTAAGCCCACCCAAGAGCAGTCAAACCCATCTGCCCTCAGCCCGCCTTCATCTGGCACCATTAAGCTGTCAGGTAAGGGGGCTGTCGGCAAAGCATGGGGATTACAACTTCCTTGGGCAACTCAGAAGCACCTCCACCAGAGAGTCCAAGTTTGTTAGCAGCCTACACCACTGGATGGGATCAGCCCCTCTGCTTTGCCACTCTGACACCAGTTTCTTCTTTCTTCTTGCCCTGCTAAACATGCCGGTGTGCACACCTGAAACTACACACACAACAACCAAAGTCTGTCCAGGTCCAGTGTCCAGTCTGTGTAGCTGCTACTGAGCCCTAAGTTGGGATGGATCCTGCCTCCTCTTTCCCACTCCTCCTGCGCCTTCTGCTCTTCCTTCTCTGCCTCCCCTTCTGGCCCCTCTTCCTTTACTACTGCCTCCTCTCTTTCTTCCTCCTAGCAAGTACCTCTAGTCCCTGAGCCTGAGCAAGAGTGAGGGGTCCCAATAATTTAACACTAGAAAAGTGTTCAGAAGCCCATATTTTACTCACACTCTGCCACCTAGTAGCTGTGCAGCCTTGGACATGTTAGAGAACCTCTTTGTTCCTCATCTGTAAAATTAGGATGGTACATTCTCCTAAGCTTTTTGCAAAGGTTAAATAAACCAGCATGCATAAAAGCATTAGGCCAGTGTCTGGCACATAATGCTATAAAGATATAAAATAAGCTACCTTTCTTCTCATCCTCCTCTGCCCTTCATCCCCAGCTAGGAGAGACTATTGTCACTTCCGTCTTTAAGAACAGCCCTGCACAAAGTCAGAGCATGCACTGGTGTCAGGATGGCAAATATAATATCAAGTGAGACAATAACACCATGAGATAAGTATTGTGAAAATACTTATGGAATAATGTACGTAAAACACCTGGCATGCGACTCTGGCTCATTAAATGCTGTTATTTTTATTGAGCTCTGTTTATTTTTAGCGGAGCTTGTAACTGTAGATACTATTTGTAGGCTGTTCCTTACCGTATCAGACTGTAAACTGTCATCTGCATTTATCATCCAGCCGTGAATATATAGCATGATGATCTTACAGAAGTGGGGTTTTTTGTTGTTGGCTTTCTTTTTTGTTTAGATGGTTGTTTGTTTGTTTGTTTCTTTGTTTTTTGTCTTTTTGAGATAGGCTCTCCAAATGCAGTTCAGGCTGGCCTGGAGCTCACTTTGTAGCCCAGGCTGGTCTCCAGCTTGCAACGATCTTCCTGCCTCAGCCACCCCAGTGCAGGGATTACCAGCATGTGCCACCACACCCAGCCAGAAGTGTATTTTTAAAGTCAAGGCCAGGAGCTAGGAGGATAGACTGGTGGTCTAAGCATCTGTCTGGCAAGCACAAGGACCCAAGTTTGATCCCCGGTACCTCATGCTGCGCCAGCCCCAGAACCCCAGGTGCACCATGCAGGCCCCCAAACCAGGCACGGTGGTACATGCCTGTAATCCTAGTGCTAGCGAAGCTGAAAACAGGAGGATCACTACGAGTCCCAACTGCATAGCAAGACCCTGTATCAAATAAATACATAAACAAACCTCAACTTTTAAAATCAAAGCCAGGATGACAAAGTCATCCCCATGGTACTCCTGCTCTGTGGGAGCTCCCAGAGGATGTGTACTGCACCCCCAAGATAGGTGTCCACTTGGCAGCCCCTCCCTCAGCTTCCTCAGGGACGAAGCCAGCTCAGCAAGCTCCAGACTGCAATCCTGAGCCCTCCACACAGTGCTCCAGCCCTGGCTGCCAGGTCAGACACTGCAGTGTGTTCAGCTCCTCTTATCCACCCAAAAGCCACTGAACTCACATCCTCTGGAGCCTGTGCCCTTCTCTATCCCCACAGCCACCACACCGGCCCCCAGGGCCACTGAGCCTGGTCTCCCACACCCATGATAGACATACAAACTTTGTTTTAGAACTCAGCTCCTACCAACTACTCTTCTGCTTAAAACTCTTCAGGGCTTCCAGCCTATTCTCCTTCCACCCCACACCCATACCTCACCTAAGCAAGACTTTCAGACTCTGATCCTTGCCTCCTTTCAATTCCCCAGATGCACCTGCTCCTTTCGCCCCAGGGCCTTCGCGCTTGCCGTTCTTTCTTCTGAAAGCCCTTCCCCTACTCAAGGGTGAGCTAACTTCTAGTCCAGTCTCTTCACAGCTGTCCTCTCAGGGAGGCCTCGCCACTACCCTTGGTCCTCCTCAACCCCTTCTATTAGACACTTTCTTAAACCCTGATGTTCATGAAACGTATGTAAATTCTAATTATGTACCTCTCTGTTCTATGATGAATCTACATACATCTCCCTCGTTGTCAATTCTAAGAAGGTAGAGTTTTTGTCTGTCCCATCTGACTAGCACTATGCTGGGTGTGTCATATGTATTTGATAAATAGGTCCTGCAGAGTTCCAAAAAAAAGCCTATTTCTATATTTCTGAAGATCAGAGACAAAATAGAAGGTTTAGATTGTATGTAAGATGCTGAAAACACGCTGCAGAGTTTTCAGCTTCACAATAACCCACAACCGTCGGACCAACTGCTGCAGAGTTTTCAAAGAGCAATACCTCTTCTCTCACTCTTCAACAGCCAAAGCAGGGTGTGGTGGCACACACCTGTAGTCCTTGCACTCTGGATAGGCAAGAGGATGGCAAGTTTGAGTCCTCCCTGAGCCACTCGGCAATTTATTAAGATCCTGCCACAAAATAAAAAGAAATGTTGAAGGGCTGGAATGTAGCTAAATGAGAAAGTCCTGGGTTGAATCCCCAGCACCAATAAGTAAACAAACAACAAATGGATTCATAAGACTGTTTCAGTCTAGAGAAGAAGCGCACTCCTCCTAAAGGACATTAAATACACACCTTCCCCCCAAGTAAACAAATCTCAGCTCCAACACACACAGAGGCAATGCCCAGCTCCACTCAGCCTCCACACACGCGAAGGGAAAGCCTTAGCGATCTTGTCACACCTGGCAGCGCTTTCAACTTGCTCTGCTCCAGCAGCCAACACTCAGGCACCGTGGCCAACGCTAGGCACACACAGACGGATCCCCCAACATGGGTACAAGCGCCCATGCCACACGACTGCTGGGGGCACACTGCCTGCCCTCCCTTCGCAGCTCCACCCGCCTGGAAACCACCCCTCCCTGACCAAACTACACCCAAACTAGCGGCTTGTTGGGTGTAGTAACACGATTAAAGGACAACTCGGGAGGCCCTGAGGGCACCATTATTCCGCATGCCCCAGGAGTGGGGCCACCCCCAGGGACAGTTGCCTGCAGATCGGAGCCTTGCCTGCTGCCAGGAAACCTTTCCCACTGAGGACACCCAGGCAAGCAGCGCGGCTCTAAGGGCTGAAGGGGAGGCACCGCACCCATCTGCCTGAGAGACAAAGATCACCAGAAACAAAGGACACACACACACACACACACACACACACACAGAGTCCAAAGCAGACAGCGACACTAGGTGCAATTTCAAACCCAACAGCCGGTTTGGTGTATCTTTAAATAGATCGCGAGAGAATCCAAAAGGGACAATGATTATGTGATAATGACAGGCGCTATCTGGGCTCCGAACCCACGCTGCCTCCGCCCTCCTCCCACCGGCGCTGCGGTTCCCAGGCGCATTTCCCAGCCTCGGGACACAAGGTGGCAGGAGCAGGGGTGTCCTACTCCTGGAACCGCTCGCTTGCTAGCTCGCTCGCTCACAGGAGCCGGAGGCAGGGTTGCCAGACGTAGGAAATACCAACCTTTAGGATCCCAGTTCACCTGCTTTCTTGGAGTCTCGATTGGAAATTTCATTGCTCCGTTGCCCAGAGGGGAGGGAATGAAAAGAATCAAAATAATAATTAAGTCCTCGAGCTGTGCTCGCCTCGATAGAGCAGTCCAGCAAAACAATTTCCAAGGAAGGGTGAGCCTTGGATTGGCTCGAAAAGGAACGCCACAGAAAGACAGGTGGGAAGAGGTTGGTGTAGGGAAGCACTGGAGACCACCCGGGCGTGGGCACCGCTTGCCGGGGTGGTTGGCTGCAGCCGGGTGGGTCAAAGAAAAAGTAAGATGGGCGAGGGGTGGATGAAAGGATGGAGGGGAAGGCTCGGCCAGGAGAAAGAGCCGAGCAGCTTCCCAGACGCGGCGCGGGCAGGCTGGGCACCGAGCAGCCGAAGGCCGAGGCTCGGGAGAAGCCCACCGCAGTATCTCTCTGGCCCCGAAGGCGTGGACGCTCGCTCTCCCGCACACACCCGCACACTCTCCCGGACGCGCGCTCGGCGGGCACGTCAGCCTGGCTCGGCAGCGCAGGGCGCACACGCCCCACCCCAGCCGCGGTTCCTCGCCCCCGGGCGACGCCCCCCACTCCCCACCCCCCGAAAGCCATTGGACGAAGGGGTGGCGCGGCGCCGAGGGAGCGCGCGGCAAGGGGACCCTCCCGGTGGCGCGCCGCAGGTGCCGCGCGCAGAGGACTTGGGCGCGGGCGGGAGGCGCCGGGCCCCGGGCGGCAGCAGCGGCGGACTTGCCCACCCGGAGGTTGGAGACTGAGGGCGGAGGCGGCGGCGGGGAGCCGGGCGGGGCGCGGGCGGTGGACACGCTGCTACTCACTGGCACGGCCGGCAGACAGGCGGCTTGCGGGCGGCCGCAGCGCGCTCCGCGGAGTTGCAGCCGGAGACACGCTTGGCTGCCTGGAAGGCTCTGCGGGAGGCGGAGGACGGGCCGCCGCAGCCCAGGGCCTCGGAGATGACCTCCCCTCCAGCTCGCACCCCCGGCGCCTCCTCCCCGGCCTTTGTCACTTCATTTTTGGACTCCAGTCCTTTCCCGCGCCTGCTTCTCCCGCCTGCGCTCGAACCTCCGTCCGCACCGTACTCCGAGGAGACCGGTGCCAGCCATGAGCCTTTTGTTCTGGCCCAGCTCCGCGGCTGCGGTCTCCCCGCCCGGGAAGCAGCTCGCTCCCCAGGCGCAGCTTGGTCGCTTCCCCAGCTACCTGCAGCCCGGCTGGGGCACCCGCTAGGAGACTGCAAACGGGGATGGGGGGAGGTGCGGCAGCCCTGGAGGAAAGCGAAGTTCCCAGGGCCGGGCGCTCCAAACCCGGGGCCCCTGAGACGAGCACCAGCAGGCGCGAGGAGACCCCAGCCCTGTTGCGAGAAAGCGCTAAACCTGGGGTGCGGCCCTGATGCCCACTTCCCTACCCCTGCCCGAGAGCCCACAGGGCTTTGCGCAGAGCTTGGCCTCCAGAAAAGTCAGAATAGTGCGAAGGTGCTCCTAACAGAGACCACTAGAAGTATCCATATGAATGAATATGCTTACAAATTCCCCGGGAAGCCTAGCAACGGAGCTTCCCACGTCGTAATTACTGGAGAAACATTTACTAAGTGGAGGCATGAATTGCATGCAGTAATGTTGGATAGGAAGTTTCTTAAGACCATAGTTGGGCTTGCAAATAAAATTCACTGTACCCTCAGTGTGCACATGTGTCCGGCCCTTATGTGTGCCGTTATCAAGCTCGCTGCCGGCTGTACGGCTGAAAATGACAGCGGGATCCTTCCTCTTAGGACTTAACTACCTAGTGTCAAGTTCCTGGTAGATTGTTGCCTTTTCTTATGAAAGAGAAGCGACTGCTGTGGACACACACACACACACACACACACACACACACACACCTGCCAGCTGTGGTCCTAAAGCCCCACATTACCGTAGCTGCTGTCTGGATTGCAGGCCACTGGATTGAGGCTTCTGGAGAGCCTTGTGTCAGCAGGGCCTTTCTCTCGTCCAACCCCCACTGTCACGCCAGGTCTCTAGGTCAGAGGGGAAGGTTCTTAGTGTTCCCCTGGAGTCTGTGGAAAGGTTGGTAAGTGCTGTGTCACTAAGGCAACCCAGGCTGAATCTCAAGAGCAGGTTTGGGTCACCCTGGCCCCAAGCCTTTTGTGCTGAGCTAACTCCCAAGGCCTTCCGGTGGCTTCCCTGGGTGCTTCAGAGCCGCCTCCCTTGGACTCCATTACACTTTCCCTCCTCTGCTGGAAGGACTGAGAGGATGCAGAGACCAGAGAATGAGATAGAGGGAATTTCTGCTTCTCCTACCATGCACCCCAGAGACCTATGTGTATAGAGATTCTGCCCCCAAGGCCAAAGCCAGCCCTTTCCCAGCAGCTGCTAGCTGCCTTTCCAAGCCTCACTCTGTCCTGTCCTCTAGAATTGTTAGGGCTGGCTGGGCTGTCATCCATTCCCTGCCATGCCATGGTCACACAGTCAGTCTCCTGCATCCTGTCAGGATGGGCAGCAACATTGAATTTGTTGGATATCCCTTCACCTGCTGATTCCCTCTCTGTTCATCTTTCCTGCACCTCTTGGAGAAACTGCCCACTGATTTCCTCTTACAGATGAGAAGACCAAGGCTTAAGAGGATAAAGAAACACTCCCAAGGTCACAACATGGAGATTTAAACCCAAGCTTGACCATCTGAAGGCCCATACCTTCTGTGACAGCTGTTGTGAGCTCCCCTGGTCCTTGGCCCCCTGGATCACACCATAAAGTTGTCAGATTGGCTCCTTTGAATCCAGAAGAGCTCAATATTATATGATCCAAGGCTTTAGTCCCTCCTTCTTGGCAAAATAAATTGGGCTATACTTGCATTCTGGGGTCAATATTAAGGAATTAATTCACTGCACGAGGCAGATTTCAGTGGTATCAGAAAGCCTTAAGATGCATCATCACTCAACCAATCAACATTTATTGACCATCCAGGGTGTAGGTCCTCATTAGAAGTTGTTTTAGTCCTGGTACTGACAGACTTCCCAGAATGGCAACAGCAGCACAGTCACAAGGAGGTTGGGAGGGGTGGTCTTAGCGTGGGAGCCCTGTGGGGGTCTGGAGCTGCTAGCTGGTCTGAATCAAAGGCTTGCCCGGGTTCCTGGCCCTAGGGTCATCTTCCTGCTGAACCTCTGGGTCCCCCCCCCCTTTTCCTTCTCTGAGCCACTGACCCCTGGGGCTGTTCTCTTCTCCTCTTTTACAGCCCCTGCAAGGGTGTGCTCAAAGACAAATGGGGGTTCACTAAAAACAAGTCAATACATCCCAGCACCTCCCCTCATGTGGCTGAAATCAAGCTTAGCTCTACTTAAACTGCATAACTGGGAATAGACTTGAGGGAGAAGATCCAATCGACTAAGAAAAGAAAAAGCAAGCCCATGTGCCCCTTGTCCGCTGTAAGCTCCTTCCTCACTCGCAGGGCTACCCTTCGGTTATTTGCAGGCTGGTTCCACTCACCCGGAGGAGGAGGAGAAAAGAAGGGATCCGCGCGGAGAAAGCACATCTGAAACTGACGCCTTGCCCCGGAGTCCCCTCTCGCTCGGCGCCGCCGCAACTTTCATGGCTGCAGCCGCGGGCGGGTTAAGTGCGGCGGGCGCGGCCGCCCCGCGCCCCTGCAGCAGGGACACAGCGTCCGGCCGGGAGCTCCGCGCGTCCGGGTGCATTCGCGCCACCGCGTCGCCGCGTCTTGCCCGCGTCTCTGCAGCTCGGCTCCCGTGGGGCGAAGGCAGCAGCAGGGGGTGCACTTAGTCAGGGCGCGCTGCGGGGTCCGGAACTCCCCCAGAGCCAAGGCATCGCCGGCGAGGAAGTTTTCCCGGAGTTGGCGGGCTCCTGGACCCCTCCCCACGCCGCAGCCCGGGCTGCCTGGGAGACCCAAGCGGGCGGCTGCCGCCTGCAGCTGGGCGCCTCGGCGGGGAAGAAACCGCAGGGATACGAGATGAGGCTGGAGAACTTCCTGGGAGAGCGAATCGCAGGGAGTGATGGAGCAGCTTTAGGGATCCCGCTCGGAGCCGAATGTACCAGCAGGAGGGGGTTGGGGGTGAAGCTGCTCCGAATCCGCTCTGGACTCGCGAACATCCGACTGAGTGCTTCAGTCTGTCTTGGGCAATGTCCCTTTGGTTTCCCAGCTCGTCCCTGACGTCCAAAAGAAACCTCGCGCTCTCATCTTTGCTGAACCCCGGAGAAACCTCCTCCTCTTCTCAAAATGAGGTGCAGTCAGGTTTCCAAGTTGTACCCTGCCCCCGAGCACCCTGCGGGTACCCACTCTGTGACAGTTGATAGGCGTTAGGTACGTAAACCCTAGCCCCCGCTCCCCCAAAGCGCCAGAAACCCAGCTCAAGCCTTGCTAAACTTAAACTCTTTGTACCAGAGGTGTTTTTCTTTTCCCGGGTGAAGTTTCTGCATTGTGCACAGCATTTAATCACTGCTACGTTCGTCTTCGTGTGCCTACCAGCATCTGCGGAAACATACGCTTAAGTATAGGTTGCCCTGGTCTTGGGCTCTGCTTTGGCTTGGAAACCCGGGAGAAAAAGGGCAGAAGGTGTCATGTATCGTATCCCTGGAAACTGCGGCGCTCAGCTGCGCAACAACAAACTGTATTCGTAAATCCTGCGGATCTGTCCTGATGACTCAAATCTCAGATTGGGCATTAATGAGGACAACAAACTGTGAACTCCGGAGAAGTTGTAATTAAAGATTCAGGCAGATGAACGTGTCTCAGAACCAGGAACTGCGTCCTCTTCCCTTTTAAGTTTCTCTATTTTAAGGCTTAGCCCTTATGAAAAATATTTAAGCTCCTTATAAAAGCACTGTGCAGGAACCTACCAAAAATATACAGAACTATAATCCAACTTCTTAGAGAACAAGTTTATAATCCTTGCTTCTCAGAGAGCAAGTTTTGAAGTCTCTTTCAAAGTCTCTCCCTCCTTCTGTCTGTGGTGTGTGTGTGTGTGTGTGTGTGTGTGTCTGTCTGTCTGTCTGTCTGTCTGTCTGTCTCTTTGTCTGTCTTCCCTCCAGCTCACTACCAAAATATAACCCCAAGTAAAATTTTTAAGACATTTGGCTGCAACTTCTTGATTTTTCCCCCTCAACTCTTTATTTTGAAAAAATTCAAGCATATGAGAACTTGTATTGTAACGTCGTGTAACTCAGTAGTGTCCCAAATTTTCTGATCAAGGAGATTATGGGGCCAAAGAGGAAAGTGATCCATGATGTAGAGTGTGCCTAAGGAGAGTCACATGGAGAGAAAACATTCTCTCAGGCTTTCACAGAGAGACATTGGCCAAGCAATGGCCGTGACTCATCCACATGGCTGACACTGACAAAGGATCTACAATCTGAGGTACAGGATCTCAGGATAAATCCTGAGGGGATTTCACTGGCCTTATCAGAACCAAAAGCTACAACTCTTGTTGCATAGGTCTTGCTTTATCTTGGTCTTAACCATCAAGC